CAAGTTGAAAAACCGTTCCTAAAAAAGAAAAGAAAAGAAAGGTTCAAATGTTATTCCTAAATAACTTGCTTATTATAAGTGAAATGTAGTTGTTCTCACAGTAAACGGCTTAGTTAGAAGGTCCTGGGTAATTAGGCTTGCAAATCAGGGAAGAAAACAACTACAAAATTCGTAAATAAAATAAAGAATATGGGAAAAGTTCTAATAAAATAATCAAATTTTCATTTTCGGCTCTTAAGTCTTCATTGGTTGCTTTAAGAGTTTTGTGTAGCGATTAGTCTCATTATTAAAAGGAGCGTTAAAATTAAAATTATATATTTGAAAAAATGACTCCAGTTGAGATGCACGAATACAATAATGTAAACGCTTCTTGCTCAAAGAGACTGACGCCTGGAAAAAAAAGTATTTATCCTTTTGTGCTCTCTAATACTAATCCTTTCGTGGTCTCATCATCTGAAGGAGAAGAAATAAAAGAAGGTAAAAAGCGGATTATGGGTAAGCAGGGCGAGAGGAGTGAACCAGAAAAAGAAGAGAGTGATAGCGAAGGGTGGACAGTAAGTGTCAATAAAAAAAGAGGAGGCAAACCCGGTAGCTATAGTAAAGGTAGAGGGGGTAGACGTAGACATGTCAAAAAGTAGTTTCGTTATAGTACATTAAATTATATAGATTGTAGTTGTGTAGTAGTTTGAGGTGGTCGTGTGTTGACCGAACGGTAGGCTGAAGCGCCCGGTATGGAGTGATTGTCAATGCTTGACGTTGGCAATTTCAATGTATCTCTTTTAAATTTTATTGAAAAATGGTGCGCTTTTTCTCGATTTAATAATAAAGTGATGCGTTTACGCGAGTTGTTAAAAAAAAAAAAAAAAAATATATATTTGAAAAAAAATTTATTTTAAATTTCGATCATAGTAACTAAATTTAGTTAGACGGATCATCCGTCGGATCACTCATCGGATGAACCGAATTTATCCGTTCGGATTCAGATCACAGTTGACGGATGACGGATCAGATGGATCACATGATCTTCGGATGACGGATGACGGATGATCCACGGATTGGAACACTAGTTGTATCTTTAAGTCATGGGATGACGTTGATAATGTCATGGAAGCCTTCGGTAAAAAGAATGGATTTACAATTATAAAGAAATGATTAGATCGACACAAGGATGGGAACATAAAGCATCGCAGTTTTGGATGTGAATTTGGTGGCCATTATCAATCACATAAACAGGTTGATATTAGACTGTAAAATAAAACGCCTATAATGCCTATGGAATGCAAATTTCAATTGCACCCAAAACTCTCAAATCATAAAACTTACCACTTTCAATAACTCTCATAACCATATGTTATTTCCTGCAGTATTCACTAAAATACCATTGTATTCCTGATGATGTCCTTAAAGAAGTTCAATTTCTCACTGAACATGAAAATCTAGCGATCACTACTCAAAGAAAGTTATTATTGGCAAAATTTCCAACTCTCTCTATCCTTGATTATGATCTCGCCAATGCAATACAAAAATATAAGGTTAAGCCAGATATAATACATGATGCATCTCACTTACTGAAAACACTAATCGAGTATAAGTCAAATAGTCCTGGGTAGTTTATTGAATTTCAACTTGATCAAGAAAATAGGCTTTCTTGATTATTTTGGATGTCTCCAATACAGATTGCTCTTTGGTTGGAGTATCACGATGTCATTTTAAACGATAATGCCACAAAAACTAACTGATATAACATGCCACTTTCACTCTTTCTTGCCGTTGATAATAATACTAGATCTCGTCTTGTTGCACAGGCACTTGTATCTGATGAAACAACGGAATCTTATAAATGGATCTTAGAGTGCACAAAAAAAGCAACAATGATCGAACCGCTAGTATTTGTTACTGACGCGGATCCTGCTATGGATGCAGCAATTGAACAAATATATGAAACAGCTTACCCGATTCACTGTATCTTTTATATAAGTGAAAATCTGCCAAAAAATACGAAATCCAAACTTTCTAATCAGTACGATGATTTGTTCATGACTTTTATCATTGTCGCAATAGTTTGTGTGAAGAACTCTTCTATGAAAGATGGGCAAAGCTTATTGAAAAATATTCAAGTGTGAAAGATTATTTAATGAGAACCCTTTATCCCAGCCAGCAGGCATGGGCTTGAGCATTCACGTCAAGAATATTTACTGTAGAGATCCAAACCACTTCATGCATGGAAGGTTATCATAACATTATTAAACGTAAGTTAACATCAAATGGTATTTTGTGTAATCTCGCAAGTGTCCTTGATGCTCAGCTCAAAAGTGAGGTAAAATGGAATTGATTCTTTGAATATCAAACCTATCAACCTGTATGGGAATCGCATCAGTTGGCCATGATCTTTTTCCAAAAGTGGATAAATTATTGTCCAAATATTTGACTTCTCACATTTTATCTGCTATACGTTCTGAAATAGTGCAATGTCTCTATTTTATTGCAAGTAAAGTGGAGTCAAACATTATTGAGGTAATTTGAAGTCTATTTTTTTGTGTTAGAAATTAGTAACGAATCATTTTTTTTTGTTTTTGCTATCGTTGGGCTTAGGGACGATGATTTTTTGTGATCACAGAATTTCACAGAAAATCACAAAATTTGGCTATAAAAATGTTGATAATTTTCAAGTTTTTGGCCTGATTTAGGATTTGAAATTATTATAATTCCGGCAGACACTAAATTTGGCCAGAATTTACGAATCGTAATGTTGGCCAACCTTGCATAATTCTGGCCAAATCACAAAATTTCACAAAATTTACTTTTATCACACACAAAATTTACTTTATACCGCCACAAAAAATCATCGTCCCTGGTTGGGCTGGATGTGTGTGTCGCAGGCTCCACCCACCTCGGCCTCACAGCCTCGCAGTATCTACATGGCTCCTACGGGCTTAGGCATCCCCATATATTCTCCACAATCCTCCACATAGATCCTCCACAAAAATATATACCAAAAAAGAATAAAATAAGGGAATAGAGAGGAAAATAAGAGGGAATCAGAAAAGTGTGGAGGATGTGGAAGATATTTTAAAAAAATCGGGAGAGGATTCCCCCAAAAAAAAGTTTTGATTTTACCCCCAGATCCTTCACATCTGGAACATCTAAAACAAGTCAAGATTCCATTCGTTTTCCTATTGGAAGCAGTGAGACAGCAAACCAGGTAGGTTAGCAGGTAAGCCCCTAGAAGATCTGTAGAGCCAGTAAGACTAACCCCATCCTGTCCCCATCAGAAAAAATAGTAATTGAACAATGGGTAAACCATAAGTAATATATAAGGATACCTAACACAAAACATGCATATGATGAACTTGCACGCAGCCACTTATCTTGCCGAAGACCTCAGACTCGATCTTGTAGACATCTATGGAATACGTAAATGGACCCAAATGCAAGCATCACCCCTCAATGACCCCGACATAGTAGCAGAGATGGTCAGAAACCTTCCGATCAAAGAATTTGGAAAGCACCTCAAGATAAACAGACTCTGGTACAACTATTGTAAAGCCGAGTTGTGGAAGCGGCATGAAAAAGCTGAGGAGGCATAACGACAGGGCAGTAGAAAAGAAAGAAAAAGCGGGAGATGCTCTTGGTCGATCATTTGAGGGGAGGGTATTGGAAATCGTGAGCTTTAATGGAAGGAGTATCATAAGGCTTGTAAAGAGATAACGGAAGCTAGAAAAGAGCAAATTATGATAAGACGAGCTCTTGATTGGTTTGGATTTCACTAGATATATGTGGATTGAAAAAGAGGAAGGGAAGATTTAGAGCAGTCATAAAGGTTTGTGGTTTATAGTTTTTTTTTACCCCTAGAAGATAACCAGGTATAACTGGAAGACTGCAGGACTGCAGGATTACAGGAGGGTAACCAGGTAGGAGTGCAAATCTTTGGAAAAAATATATTCGGCAATTGAAGTTTAGGTAACTATAAATTAGAACTCGATTCGATAGAACGAAAAAATGACCACCCAAACTAGCACTCAAGCTCAAGTTATTCCCAAGTTTGGTGAACAAAAGAAAGCCTTCAGTATTGATAAGCTTAAACGGCTTGTTAACGCTGCTAAAAGTATGAGTGACTTTGATCAAGCTAAACGTTATCTTTGCAGTTACTTTATCCCCTGCTCCAACCCACATGGAGTCTTTATGTGGCGGTCAGAAATCAAGAACCTCGAGCACATCCTTGATAAAAATATTAGTAAACTTATCTGTTCAATTACCAAAGTCTTTTACACATAATCTGAACAAGGTCCTTCACAAAAGGTCAAATTCAATATCAACAAATCGGTAAATATCTATTTATTACAACTACAACGCGGGTGTGACTACGAGTACATGTGACTACACTCGCATCTTTATTCATCGCATATCACGTAGTCACGTAGTCACGTAGGCATTATTACGCCATAACTACATAACTATGTGATACAAAATTTGTATTCACTGTACTCACGTAGTCGTTACCAATCATTTAATAAATTTCTTGTATAACGGCTATAATTGCCTTTAAAAGTTAGTAAATTTTTTAAAAATTATAACCTTATCGAACGGACTTAAAGAACTGCTAATTTTTCTCCAGCGAACAAAATGGACAAATAATTCTAAATTAGATGCTTTAACTGGTAAACACTTAAACTATTTTGGGTATTTTGTTTAAGAAGAATACTTTGGTTTTCCTTTATTATTTAAGAAATGTTATTGATATTACTTTTTCTTTATTTTTTTTTAGAGAACAAACAATCTTTGGACTTTGGGGAAATGGTTATAAGTTTAAGAATACCGGCATTTTTTTAAAAACATTGTTATATTTCTTCTTTTATTTTCTAGGAAACGGCCTTTAAACTTTAGAAACAATTTGGAAATTAAATGTAAGCTTGGGGAGTCTTTTGATATTTACTTTAAAAAGTGTTACTACTATATTACTAGAAGAAGCATATAACATTTCTTATTTTATTTTCAAGGAAATGGCCTTTGTATTTTTGGAAATTGAATGTAAGTTTGGTAACTTCCTTGGTATTTCCTTTAAGAAATATTACTAATATTTCATTTTTATTATAGGTCTACATAGGTAATTTGTTAGGAAAATTTGCTAGTTTTACAAAATAATATTATTCAATTACTGCGATTTCACTCATTTTTCATGTAAATAATAAATTTTATAATAAATATTTTTGTTAATTAAATAATGAAAAATTGCAAAGTTTTACCGAAATTATGTGTGTACAATAATTTATAAGTTAATCACTTGACAACCAAAAGGTGATTGTAGATTTGTATGGTTAGTTAATAATTCAGAAAATATTAATTTGGTATGGATTTTCATAAATCAGGTGAGTTATTTAAATTTATTACTTTTGGTAAAATCAATCTTTTGATAATCATAATTATATAAACGCTCTTAACTAATAAATCCATAAAAATCTTTTCAGTTAACTTTTATAGAAACTGGATCAATGTTTATAACCATGTTTATAATTATCCCTTATAACCAAAATTTTATTTTTCGTCACGTATATTACATTCAAATCTTAACAAAATTCGAAAAAATCATTTATTTTCATAACAATAAACTTAAGTTACTACAATCAATAATGTCTAATTTAGCTGAACCTATCAATATTAGTTCTGAATTAGAGGTAATTTCTTTAAATTTTATTTAGATTTTATAACAAAAAATCAAAATTTTCTATACTATTTTAGGAGGAAGAACGAAGTCCTTTGTTATCACAAGAGTTAGTTAATAATGAAGAAAAATTGGAGAATACTTTGGCTTTAATTAGTTCTGTATATCACATTACAGATATTCGTCATTCCTTATTTCCCATTGAATATCCTGATACTTCAGATGATGGAATTGCATATGTTTTTCATGTTGAAAATTGGACTGACAAAAAGGCTGTATTTAATAATGTAAAGGATTTTATTTTTCAATCATTTATTTTTTAATAGCCAATGAAATATTAAATTAATTTTTAATTTTTAATTTTTATTTAAGATCCAATATAGTCTTGGTAAACCTGGTGGTGCACACTCTAATATTTTTTGTCCATTTTTAGGAGTGCAATGTAAAGATGATAAAAAATCATGTCAAGGCATGAAGATTTGTAAAATTGCTACACCTGAATTTAAAGATGTAACTCATTCTACAGTAGATCTTAACATGGATTGATTTATCTTCAAGAAATTCCAGCTTCTTGACTATATCTTCTTCACATCAAATCCGATTAAATACACAAGAGTAATTAGTTTTTATTATTTCAATATTTATAAAATAATAATTTAATTTAACTTTTATTTTTTTTTTCAATTTAAGAGAATACCTTGCTGCCATCAATTCTAAATGTTGTTATAATAATTATACATGCAATGGACAACCTGTTATAAGATATCATAAAACTAATAGAAGTAATGTTAATCAATACTTCATTGGTTGTAGTGCATATATATTTGGCACACGCCATCGATATATTAGTGGAAAACCCAATGTTGATGAAAATCTTTTAAAAGAATTGCTTGGAAATGAAGGATGAATTAGTAATGTTAATGTAATTTTATTTTTATTTTTTTTATTTTTTATAAATTTTTGTTACATTTTGATTTATATTCTTATCTTTATTTATTTAGGATGATAAAAATTGTTTTACTCTTATTCCTAGTGCATCACAAAAACAAAAATGTCGTAAGTATTCAATTATATCATTAAGAAAAATCAATTTTATATAATATTTTTTCTTATTTTTTTTATATAGCAATTCCTCACATCATAGATGGAAAAGTTGAATTATTACCACTTGTAAAAACTGGGTCGTTATATTTCATAAATATGAACCATTGGATTTAGAATCATGCCCTTATATAGTTATGGTTGTAAAAAATACTCATTCACATCCACCTCCACCACCTCATCGAACACCAAATCACTTACAGCAAGATTTGAAAAGTTTAATTGAAAACTCTAATGATCTTTTAATTGATTCTACTTCACGAAGGTTAATTTCTGGTAATAAATAATAATTATATTTTTATTACATTATTTTTATTTTTGATCTTTATTAATGCTAACTTTAATTTCAAATAAATATAGGTCCATTGATAAAAGCAGTTTTTGGTGAGACTGTTTTAGCAGATGTTCATGCCTCAATGAATAATATTGATAAGCTTTGTAATATTATAATGAGAGAACAGAAATTATTACATCCATATGGACAAGGTATAATGGGAGTAGTTCATGCTTTCAATCAAAATGAATCAAATTTACATGATTATATTCAAAGGATTAGTAAGTACTTTAATTTTAAAAATAAACTTTTTAAATATTTTTAATTTAATGTAATTATTATTATTTTTTAGCATTTATGGATGATGGACATATCATGATATTATGTATGTTTAAATTACAAGCTGAACATATGTCAAAATTTAAATATTTTATGGTGGATATATCCTATAAGCGTGTATTTGGAGAAATTAATGAACTTGAATTTAATGCTTATGACGAAAATAATAATAGTGGTAAGTAGAAGTTTAAATTATAAATTATTAATTTTAGTTTACTATTAACTAAACAATTTCTTTTATTAGTTGTAACTTTTTGAAGGATATATTCAAATGGAAGTAATGCTAAGGCTTATCAATATATGTTTACAGCTTTCTTTGAAGTTTATGAATATTTAACAGGAGAAAAGCCAACTTTTTATTATTTTAATTCAGAAAACTCTGAAAAAAAAGGATGGGCTGCTATTATTGTTGATTTGGATAAAGGTCAAGCTAAAGGATTATCTTTAGCTTTAAATTCCTTATATAATTCTTTAAGCCCAGAACAGCATTTACTATCTGTTTTAAAATCGTGTTTAATTCATTTTGAAAGGTAAACAAATTATAATTAGTTTATTTATGAATAATTATTAATTACTTACTTTATATATTAATTAACAAAATAGAAATGTAAGAAATTCCAAATATTCAGATGAAAGTAAATTTTTAATGCGCCAGCTTCCCAAAGCCAAGACAAAAGATGAAGTAGATTTTCTATTTGATCAGTTACGATTAATTGATGATGAAAACATAAATGGTAAATAATCTGTTTTATTTTCTTTTAACTTTTATTATTAATCATCAAATCTTTATTAAAAAATAGATTGGATTACTGAATATCAAACGCCATGGATATTGGCATCATTGAATTGTAATTATTCGTCAATGGATTATGATGTGTGGATGACCACTCCATTTGATACAAACGTATCTGAATATTCTCATGCAAACATAAATAGAGAAGGAACGCGACTAAGATTAAAGACTGCTATTTTTCAGTAAGTTGTTTGATTTATTAAGGTTTTTTAGTACATTTTATTAATTATTATAAATTTATTATTTTAGCTCGTGGAATTATGATTTAGGTTTATATAGAAGATTTTATAATAATTACCAGTACAATGTACCAATGTCAAGCAAAAACAAAAGTGGTGTTAAAAGAAAGATAGATGCTAACAAAAGAAAAGGTGATAATATTTTATATTAGTTGATATCTAATTTATATTACTTACATTATTACTTAATTTAGAAAAACAAAAAACTACTTTGCTTCTAAAGTCACAGAATAAATGGCAAAAAGGTAATGTTAAGGGTGTTAAAAATGATGAATTTCAACAACAAATTCAAGAGTTAGAAATTGAAGAACGTAAGGAAGAATTAGAAAGAAAAAAATTGGATAACCAATTAAAAAAATTAGAAATAGCACGAAAAGAGAAAGAATTAAGGGAAGGGCAATGAAGTTTAATTTCTATTAGAGTGAAAAAGTAATATGTTCTTAAAAAACATGTTTCTTAAAATCTAATATATAATACATTTATCACTTGGAAATTAAATAAATCTGAAATTGTTTATATTCATGAATCACACTACATAAGATATATAAATATTTACACAAGGTAAATGAAATTTTTTTGAAAAAATACATAAAAAATAATTAATTCACCTATAGTTAAATATAACAGATAAGTGCCGCCAAAAATCTTTTTGTGTCTAAGTTAAATGATAGTAAATGTAGTTATTTTGGAAAAGACTCTATTTTTTGTATTAAATTTCAGGAATACTTTAATAAAAGAAAATATAAATTAGTAGTCTAATAAAATTGAAAACGAAAAAGAAAAAAAGTCTTGCTCAACTTCAATTCCGAGGGGAAAAAACCCATTCATCATCAAATTAGTTTTAGAGTCGCCTAAAAAGAAGAAAAATAAGTTACTATTATGATAAGAAAAAAATGTAAAAAATTCACTATTTTCATATCATCATGCGTATATATTTACCTTAAAAAAATAAAAAATATTATCAGTTATCATATAGTAATAATTAATAAAAAAAAAAACATGACTACGTTATTACGAATTATATATGCGTAGTCACGTTGCAGGATTGTGATTACATAACTCAATTGAGTACATAACCATCATGTACCTGGAGTCACACCTGCGTTGTAGTTGTAGTAATTTGCTATATAATCTCAACAAATGGTTTATAGTCGAATACAGTACTGTATGCATAGCCACCTGTGACCTCCAAAAATCCCGTATCTTTAAGCTAGGTGGCCAACTTTATCTCAATATCTTCCTAGGATTCCTCCATATCCTGCGTCCGATATCCACCTTTGAGTCTATAACCCACCTCGTGGTTAAATTTATCATCTCTCACATTCAGGATATCTGGTGTTCAGGCGATTGGAATCTTACTGAGTATATCATCAAGTGGTTAGCCGGTGTATCTGCTGAAAGGAAGATGTACTTGATTCTCTACCTGAAATCTGGACTCAACTCGTTTATAAGACTAGCAATCCTCAGACGATTCTTGGAAGTTTCAATGGGCAATTACAGGGTAAAGTTCTTCTTTTTCTCAAGGAAATGCTCACAGAAAAAAGCCAGTGGAATAATCTGTATCGATTGTTGAAGGATAAGGTAACAGGCGACATAATGGAAATCCATGAAAAATATAAGACGCCAACACATTACAAAAACTTTATATCCACCATCATCCTAACCAATGAAAATGCTCTCAGAGTGGAGAATGATGACAGGCATACTGTGTTCTTGGATGTGTCACCTTCCCGCAAGGAAGACCTGGGATACTTCAAGAAACTCGGTGACGCCATGAAATGCCCAGGCGCTAGTGAGGCATTCTATGCATACTTGAGAGCTATCGTGGATACTTATCCAGACTTCAATGGGAATCCACCTCTTATGACCGCATCTAAGCAGGATCACATCATCTCGACTCTCCCACCTCTCTTTCAGTTTATAAAGGACACATACCTTGCAGTAAAAAATCATATAACCGACCTACCTGTTCAAGAATTTTATAGGGTATATACTTCATACTGTGAAACTCATTGCATTTCACCTCTATCAAAGATTAACGCTTCTAGAATCCTATCAAATAAGTTAGGTATAAAAAGTAAAAAAATACGTATAGGTGAGGACCTCTACGATATAGAAGGAATTGATACAGATACTCCTAAGAAACCTGCATCAGACCCCAAAGCCTTAGAGAAATTCTTGGCAAAAATATATAATCCAGCTAACAATCCACAAGATGTACAAGAGAAACCTGCTAAGGAAAAACCCTCACCTGTTATCGAGGCTCCTCCACCAGTACCACCCAAACCTGATTGCTTGAAGGAAAAACCCGCACCTGTCATCAATGAGGACCCTATTCCTGAGGAACCTCCAGCTTCCATAGAGTCAGGCACTGATGAAATTATAGACAGTTTCTCAGACTGTTATCTATCTGATGAGGAACCTGACCAAGAAAATGAGCCGTCTGCTGAGGAACCTGCACTTGAAGCTGATGATGACTACAATGTTTTAGATGACTTACTATCCGACTCAGATCCTATAACCACAAACCCAGCTCATGAACAACAACCTGAACCTCCTGCATTTGTCACTAAATCTGATCCAGAACTAGCTCTCAAAGAGCAACCTATCCCAGAACCTGACACAGAACCAGAAATTGACTGGGATCCTGAACCAAAGGAAGGTACTTCAGCTTACTGGGCTTGGCAAGAAAGACGTCAATGGAATCGTAAGCCATGGGTTAAAAATTCAAAGGACCAGACCTTTAACAATCTTTACAATACAGGTAAGAAATTATGGGCTAAGTACCAAGACACATCAGACAAGTATAATTGGGACCATTTTAAGGATTGGATCGAATATAATGGGGATTTACCTAAAGCATCCAGTCATAAAGAACTTGCAAATATAATAAGAGCATATAAGGAGGATCATGATGCTGAGATTATCCCTACCCCTTCTGGTTATGAAACTATGAAGATGGACCGAAAGGATAAGGGTAAGGCATGAGAGATCCTAGAGGAGCATCCAAAGACTGATATGGAACGTCAGTGGGAAGCTGCCAATGGATATGTAGACTGGGATTGATCGTGTATGTAGCAAGATTGACTCCTTTTAATAAGATAAGCACCTCTTAGTTATCTTATATTTTTTTTATAAAAAACCTATATTACAACTGAACACAATTCATAAATACATCAAATGGTTTATTCAGAGAATGTCTGTGCTTTACCTACAAGACCAGATATCAAAGAACTACAGTATTCAGGTGCAAGATTTTCTAGAGGAGCAATAACAAGACTTGGACAGCGACTCCAATCCTGGTATCCAACTCATAAATTCCAGATCCTACTTCCCTATGAAAACTGGAAACCTGGTGGGTGGACATCAGAAAACGAACCGGTAAGTCTCTTTTCACTATTAGACCACTATGATGAAGCACAACTACCAAATGATGCAGATCCTGATTATTTTAAAAGATTTATAATTTATATAAGAGATGCTTTACTGGCTGCAGAAGGATGCAATGGGGAGCTAAATGATTGCCTGTATGAATGCTTGAAGCATATCTATGGTACATTCTCTAAAATGCCAGTGTCCTACATGGATAAAGTTGAACAACTCACAAAAAGCCTTGCAATTAACATTGTAGGGATTCCACTTGAATTTCCAAGAGCAAGTCTGACAGACGTGCAACCCTCATCCTGTCTGAAGGCCACTACTCTCTTGCACTGAATCCCAGAAGACTCCACCCTAGTAAATTAGATAGAAAACAAAAGTCTCCCTTTGTTTATCGTAAAGATGGGGTTAATAATGTAGTAACAATATACAATGGTAAGACAGTTAAGTTTCTTACAGTTGGACAGTTTCAGAAAGGTAAGAACTCTGATAGTTACTCCTTCATCCCTATCAAGAAGAATCGTAAAACTGGAATATATGAAACACTTGAGGAAACGTATCAAAGGATCCTTCTGCCGAAACTCTGCCAAAACTATAATAAATCTATAGTAAAATTTTGACAAAACTAATCGTAGGATTTTGAACCTTAGTCTAGGGATTGACTTATCTTACCACAACTGGTCTTACAAGAGAATTGCTCTCTGGCTTTTTGAACGGTTTAGTGTAGGTGTTCCAGACTAATCTGGGCGCTTAACGAATGGCAAGGCTATGGAAGACAATATGATGTAACAAGTTTGTATCCAAGTATCCAGCAATCGAATGCAAACTTTCCAATCAGATGGGGCAAATTCCAGACACTTTCAGACTTTGTTGACCACAGAGGTTATGCATTGTATGGATTATTCCATGCTAAGGTAAGTGGAAATAACATTCTCTTCTGACAGAATAAGAGGGAATCTACACATTCATCGACTTACAACGTGCAAAAAAACTTGAGATGGAAAACCCAATGCTCTGGGAATCCTTTGGGGTCGACTGGCATCTCTGCAAAATCAGCCTGATGTGTTGCATTTGGTTTCCATACAATTACCTTTGGACGTTCTGATGACTTTTCCTTTAGGGGCTTTTTGTATAGGTTGTAGTGCTCTTCACCTTTTAGAACTCGTGCTGGTACTCCAGATAGACTGTAGTACTTGTAGTAATTCTCTAAATGTGACAAATTAAAAGAAAGATTTCGGACTTCAAATCTCAAGATGACACGATTTTACTGCCTAAAGTGTAAGAAGGAAACTGAGACTACTAGTGAAATACAAGATATGACTACAAATGGACGTTATCATTTATATGGTGATTGTACAGTTTGTGGCATGCATAAGAATACTTTTACTGGGGTAGACTGGGTAATTAAAAAGAAGTCTAAGGAGAAGAAGAAAGAAACTGCAGCCAAAAAACATCAGACAGCTTACAATCAGCAGTGCCAGAAACTTGGACAGAAAATTTTAGATGCTGATAACACGTGTAAGCAGTATATTGATTTTATTTTATTTTATTTTATGTGAAGCCGGCGGGGGATATTCAAATGAGCATGATTCCTAAGTAATAAAACCTAAGTAATACAACCCAACATATGCCTACCATCGATTTCCGGAGGAGCCGGAAGCCAACCCGAGCTAATTGGAAAAAAGTGACCTGTACCACTACCACGTCCGGTAAAAGGCCAGGTGAACGCACTGGGTAAAAAATAGGAGCGGGAAAAAAAGTGGAGAGGACAAGTCCCCTTTCCAAGAAGTTTTGGTGCTAAACATAAATCTGTTCTATCCTAAAAAATAATACAATTCTGAAATTCGTAAAACCGCTAATAAAAGCGTAGGCTAAACTAGTTTCTGTAATAAAGTTAAAATTTCTGCTAAAACCGCCTTGTTATCTTTATTACCACCCTTTTTCTTCGAGGTATTCTTTGCCTTCTTCTGATTCTTCGGGTGTTTCTCCTCCTGGTTATTATTTTTCGGGACTTTCTTCGAGGATGTAGGTTTATTCTTCTTCTTAGGCTGATTACGATCCAAATTCTTATCAGACTTACCTGATTTTTTCGGATTCGGTGTATTTTTAGCTTTCGGTTTGTTTTGTGCTTTCTTCAAGGTAGGAATGGAGTGTCGACACCATTTCAACTCCTTACCATCAGGTACGAAAAACTGTGGCGTATCTAAGGCCCTTAGTGTGGTCTCCCAATTCTCGAAATAGGCCACAAGTTTCCTCCTTCCTTTGCTTGTTTGTATAACTTTAAATGAGCTAGCACCGCACTTCATTAAAAATTCACATGGTTTACGGT